TCTATAATGAAAATAAATGTTTTTAAAATAGAATTATTTTAAGACACTTACGCTGGTCCATAGTTGCATATAAAATGTGCTCCATTGGAAAGACTTTCAAAGCCAGAAACTTTAGCGCAAAATTGTACTGCACAGCCAACTTTGTAACTATCTGCCCAAACAACCTGAAAGGAAATAAGGATTTTTAACAGAGAGAGAAACAATAAAATGAACATTTGGGTATGATTAGCCTTTATAAACACAGTGAGGTATATTCACTCCAGCTAGAGCACCTATAACCAGGAAAGTTTTAGGTATTCAGAATTCAGGTGGAAACAAGACTTGTTATTACTGCTACTGGGGTGTGTATATGCGTGCATGTGTGGTGTGTGTGAAATAAACATATAAATAGTAACTAAAATAATTTTTGAAAGCACAATGAAGAAAGAGAGTACTGCAACAGAGTGACCGGTGTGGGTGCTGATTTAACTGGATGTTCAGGGAAGACATCTCTGAAGAGGAGACATTTAAACTGAGACTTGAACAATGAGGATGCAGCACTTAGGATAAACATTCAGGAGACCTAATGATAGGGGAAGAGCATTCCACGCAGAGGTAACACCATGGAGAAAGGCCCTGTCTTAGTCCATTTTTGTAGTGCTATAATGGTATACCTGAGGCTGGCTACTTTATAAAGAAACTAGGTTTATTTGGCTCACAGTTTGCAGGTTGTGCAAGAAGCATGGAACCAGCATCTGCTTCTGGTGAGCACCTCAGACTGCTTCCACTCATGGCAGTAAGGGAACGGGAACAAGTGTGTGCAGAGATCACATGGCAAGAGAAAGGAAGCCACAGAGAGCAGAGGGAGGTGCCAGGCTCTTTTTAACAACCAGCACTAACAGGAACTAACAGAGTGAGAACTCACTGATTACTGTGAGAACTGCACCAAGCCTTTAATGAAGGATCTACCCCCATCACTCAAACACCTCCCATTAGTCCCTACCTCCAATGCTGGGGATGAAGGAGCTCAGGAAATTTCACCTCAACATATAACTCCTTGGTATAGAGAATATTTTTTTTATATTTCTTGAGACAGAGTCTTACTCTGTCACCCAGTCTAGAGTGCTGTGGCATCAGCCTGGCTCACAGCAACTTCAAACTCCTGGGCTCAAGTGATCCTCTTGCCTCAGCCTCTCAAGTAGCTGGGACTATAGGTGTGCACCACCACACTCAGCTAATTTTTTCTATTTTTAGTAGAGACGGGGTCACATTCTTGCTTGGACTGGTCTTGAATCCCTGACTTCAAGTGATCCTCCCACCTTGGCCTCCCAGAGTGCGGGGATTACAGGCATGAGCCACCTAGCCCAGCACACAGAATATTTTTAATTAAAGAACATTCAAGATCACAAAGCATTGGAGGGGGCTTTCCCTCTATCTGCATAAACTAGACTGACCTGATCAAAAGATCAACGTGGGCAACTGACTTCCCTTCCTCTCCCTGTTATCTCAATATATTGCAGGAAGGAGGATCAAGAATGCAACCAGACCT